AGGGAGGGAGAGAGAGAGAGAGGAGGAACGAGAGGAAGAAAGAAAAGAAAAAGGAAAAAAAAGAAAAAGAAAGAGAAACATCACAATAAACTGACCAGATGCAGTTGGTTTCCAAACTCTACAAGTGGGGGCCAAGAGCCAGGTGAAAGAACTAGTTTTAGGGCTGCCCAAAAGACACAATCTTCCTTGCCCCAAGGGCTCCCAAGGCATCAGGCTTAAGTTTTATTTCCCAATAGCATCTGGACAGCACCGACCCATGGCGATTTCCTACCCAGTGCCCACTGCTCACCCAGGTCCTCGCCAAACACTGGATGCACTTAACTTGCTCAATGCTCACAGCAACCTGAAGAGGTGAATTTGATTTTCTGCATTTTGTAGATTTGGAAACTGAGGCAGCTTCCTCAGCCAGCTTCTGCCTTGATGTGTGCCTTGCCCTGAACCTAAAGTGACTGGGCCAACTGACAATGGACTCAAACTTCCCGGAGGAGGTCGCACCCTGGGCCAGTCTTAGAGGATGGAGGGTGCTGGGGAAATGTGGGGACAGCTCCAGGAAGACAGGATGCAGAGGCAAAGGCAGAGAGACAGCACGTAGGGTGGGGAGTAAGGGACAAAGATGACCTACCAGGAAGCTGAGGAACTCCACTTTGTCCTGAAGATACTAGGGAGCCATGAAAGATGTTGAGCAGGGAAATGGCAAGGTCAAACTTTTGTAGCCAGAGACAGAGACTAAAATCAAGGTAACAGAGGTGCTGGAGAGATGGCCAGTAAGGCTAACAGCATTTAGTAAACAATGCCTTCCTGAGCCTGGAGTGTGGCTCACTGTAGAGCACCTGCCTAGCATGCGCAAGCCCCTGGGTTCCCTCCCCAGCGCTCCCTGGCCACTGAGTTGCTTAATAAATATTGTATACATGTATCAAATGTGTACATGTGTCAAGTTATCATATTACCATAAATTACCATATATATCAAATTATCATTACATGTACTGATTAACTATATAAGGATATATAAATACTACATCACAATAAAAAAAAAGAAAGAAGGAAAGGAAAAGATGGTGGTATACGTCTCTATTTTTTTTTTTTTTTTTTTTGAGGCAGGGTCTCTCTATGTAGTTGAGACTGACCTAGTACTCACTATGCAGCCCAGGCTGGTCTCAAACTCACAGCAATCCTCCTGCCTCAGCCTTCCGAGTGCTAGGATTACTGGCGTGCACCACCAGGCCTGGCTGGTGGTATACAACTCTAATCCCAGCATCTGGAAGGCTGAGGCAGGAGGATCTTGAGTTTGAGGTCAGCTTGGATTTCATAGCAAATTCAACCCTGGCTTGAACCTTGGGTCAGAAAAACAAAAAGAAGAAAATGGATCAAGTCACAGAAGATCTCACAGGTTATAGAAAGTAGGAGTAATGAAAGCTAGCAAAGATGAGGGCAGTAGCAAAGGCAGAGAGGGGACAGCTGCAGGAGCAACACCCAGAGAAGGTGGAAGAGGACAGAATGCAGACTCTACAAGCAGGAACTGGCTTTTGCTCACTGTTACTGCAACAAAGAACCCCAAATCCAGAGGCTTAAATCGATACTCAGATATTTTCTTACCCTGCTTGTGAGCTGAGTCCAGGCACCATGCAGCTCTTCTGGGTTCTCTGCCTATGGTCTCCCGAGGTAGAAATCACAGTGTCACAGGTCTGGGTCCCTCTGCGGAGCACTAACCTGTAGGTCCATCCAGGTGATGGCAGATCCAGCAATGGTGCATGGGACATCGTTCCTTCCTGGGCCGCCAGCCAGAGAATACTCTCTTGATTAGGTTAGGCTCTCCCGGAAAGTCTCTGTTTTTTAGGGTCGACTGTGTCATAAAATCCACAACAAGTACAGGGGTGATAAGACAGCTCAGCACTTTTACTAGTTCTGGGGTTGCACTGCGGAATCTTGGGAGCCATTCCTTGGGATTCTATCCATGTGACTGACTTTCCTTTTCTTTCCTTACTTGTCTCTCCTTTTCTTTTCACAGTATGGAGAGAGAACTCAGGGCTTTCACATTGAGCTACAGCTCTAGCAGCCCCCTCCCCCACTGTCTTATTTTAAAAACAGGGTTTCGATAAATGGCTAACTTGCCCAGGCTGGGCTCAAACTTGCAATTTTCCTGCCTCTGCCTCAAAGGACGCTGAGATTATAGGCATGTGTCACCTGGATAGGCTACCCACTCTTTAGATAGGAACAGCACCTCTGCTGGGGCAGCAGGTGGAATCGTGGACCGTGTACGCAGCTATTGAGAGATGGATGAGTTTGGTGGCGGGAGTATATTCAGTTGCTCTATCAAAGAGACCCGAAGACAGATGCTTAAATTTTCTCTTTCAGCGAGAAGATCCAGATAAGTAAGCCAGAGCTGGGATGGCAGTTCCAAAATCACCATAAACATGGACCTCCGCTCCTTCTACATTTTAGCTCCGCCATTCTCAATTTAGGTCCAAAACAACCTACCATTCTTACAGCCAGAAGGAGAAACTAAGAAGAACATGCCCTTTCTCTATATAAATGGCCCAGAAAGCATGTGTGTCACTTCCTCCTCTTTTCCCATTGGTCCAAACTTAGTCACATGTCAAGTCCCACAGCAAAGGAGGCTGGGATATGTAGTCTTCGGCAGGAAGGCTCAGCGTACACTTGAAAAGGAGAATGGATGCTGGTGGGGGGGTCATTCCCGAGTCAGCTGTGGGGCCATGACGGTGAGAGAGATAAAAGAATGACTTTTTTTTTGTACCAGGGATCGAACCCAGGTCCTCGCACTTGTGAGGCAGGCCGCAAAACCACTGAGCCAAATTCCCAGCGAGAGATAAAAGAAAAGTGAAAAGGTCTCTGGCCTGTTTAGCAATTGGCAGGAGCAAGGGTGCTCACACTCTGCTGGGCAAAAAAGGATAAAAAGGTAAATATTACTTTATGTGTATTTTATCACAAGTTTCTAAAGAACACGGGTTTGGAGTAAGGAAGAGAAATTACTCAGAAGCAGCCATAAGAAACGAGGGGGCCGGGACCTTGTAGAGAGCAGATTTCCCTTCTAGAATCGAAGGATGAGAGGAGAAGGTAGCAGGACTGAGCTGTGCTGTTGACAGTGAAGAGCAGGGGACCAGAGAGGGAGCAAAGTGTGGGACCACAGAGGAGAGGATGCAGGCCAGAGATATGCAGAAAGCAGTTGCTTCAACTTGGTGGCTGATGAGATGTGGACCAAAGGACCAGGTCGTTCCAGAATGGCACACTGGTTGCTGGGTGACCGTGTGGATGATGCCAGCTCTCCCTGCCATGGAGAATACTGAGATGCGGGCACCTTTGGGTGTGTGGGGGCACAGAGTCCATTTAGGCCATGGCAAGTATGAGGGTTCCCTAGGTCACTGATCAGACGTGCAGGGAAACAGGATGCCCAGGTTGGGGAGGAGTCAGAGGTGGGGAGCCAAGTGGGACTTGAGGCCAAGAGAGCTATAAATGGCTAGAGAGGACTCAGTGCCCACAGGGAACAGCCCGACACCTGGTTTGGCTGTGGGATAGGACAAGGGGGTGCTGTGGTGTCCAAAATACAGGCACACAAGGGTTTTCTAGAATAAAAGAGCCCATAGGCATAGTTACAGACTGAAAGGAAAAGACCAGAGAGGGGCTTCCAAACAAGGAGCCTGAAAGGGCAGAATGCCTCAGTTTCCCTACAGCAAAAGGATGCGGAAAACCAGGCCAGGCAACTTGGGCAGCCCTTGAAAGAGACACTCTCTCTCCCTTGGTGCTCCTAGCCTCTGTTTCCCTCTCTAGTCCTAAGCCCACCTGAGTGACTTTACACAGAGACCCAGGCCCCCTCATCCTGGTTTTGTGTCCTTAGCCAACACCAGTCATCACCACGGGGTTGGCCCATGGGTCTTCTTTCCCCTTTCAATGGGTTCACCTTCCTCCCATTGACCCCACCCTTAGCAGCCCCCAACCTGGGCACTTCTTGGCTGAGAATCTGCTTGTTTAGGTCACCAAAACCCCTTCTGTATGACTCCAAAGTATTGATGTTCTCCAGGGGTTTGCTGAATTCCATGGCCACCTCCCTGCTACATGCACAAACTCTGCCATCTGCAAACCACTGATGGACTTGGTTTTATTTTGTAATAGTGAAATCTTCATGATTTATTATTAAATGTATATATAATGTTTTAATTTTCCAATATAATGATAATATTTAACTCTTAGGCTTAATTTTTATTAATATCTTATAACTCTAAAACATAATAAAATTAATGATACATTTATCTTTTAAAGGGAATGTGGATCACTAACATTAATGGAAAATGATGTCAGTTCCATAAATAGAAAGTAGCTAGAAGTAGATATAATGCAAATAAAGCAATGGTCTTTAATTCTAGCTAGACACCAAGGTCTCATAGAGGTTTTAAGACTCTGGCCTGCAGCCGTTCATTAGAAAGAGTACTCAGGAAGTGTCAGATGCTAAAGATACCAGGGCATAAAAAGGGATTCTCTCCTGGACTCATTCAGAAGGAGTGAAGAGGATTAAAAATAGCTCACTAAGCTGGGTGTGGTGGCACAAGCTAGTAATCCTAGAAGTCTGGGAGGCTGAGGCAGGAGTTTCTCAAATTCAAGTCCAGCCTGGGCAACTTAGTGAGATTCTATCTTAAAATAAAAAATAAAGGGGCTGGGGATTTAGTTCATTGGCTCTGTGCCTGCCTGGCAAGTGCAAGGTCCTGAGTTCAATTCAAAAGAAAAGAAAGAAAGAAATAGGGTTGTAGCTCAGTAGGAAGACCCTGGGTTCAGTCCCAAGAACTAAAAGAGAAAAGTTACTGTCCCCTGTAGAGCCTCTGCTGAGGGAGCTATCCAGCTCACAGTTCTGGGAGACAAACAGGATGGAGGTTATTGCTCCCATTTTACAGATGGGGAAAACTGGGATTGAGAGGAACAACCACAGAGGCCCTCACCTCAGTGGTCTTGTCCTCTAGAAGACCCTGGAAACCCCCTGGAACCCAGGGAGGGGCTGCTTCATGTCTCCCATAGATGCAGCACCAGTGCCCCAGGAGACAACAGTGGAATGGGATGCCCTCCCCTAAACTGGGGTCAGCCTGCGGTTCTGTGCCCAAGGCCCCCAGACCTCTTGTCTCTGGAGATAGCCCTGCTCTGCACTTGGGGGATAAGCTGGTCTCTTTTCATCATTTCCTTCCTGCCCTCCGCAGCGGCCACCATCAACTGCCTCCCACAGCACTGTCACCGTGGGCTCCAGGGGAACAGTGTGAGTCACAGAAGAGGTGCCTGACTGAAGGCTGCAGGTAAGTGGCCTCCTTATTACCCAGCATGTCTCCTGCCTGGTGGCCCCTCCTGCTGGACTGGCAGGGCCAGAGCAGGCCACCTCTGTCCCTAGATTCATTCACTGAGTCACTGAATATTCACTGAGGCGCGCTGGGGGAAAACTCTGTTGAAGAAGAGGAAACAGCCTTACTGCCCCCGCTGCAGGGAACCCATCAGACAGATGACCATGGACACTCTGCTGCCTGACCCCAGTCTTGGTCTCTCCTGGTGTCTGGGGGCCATGGGCCAGGGCTGGGACTCACTGAGCTGTCATTCACGCCCCTCAGCCCAAGAAGATAATGGGGTCTCTGCTAGGTTCCAGAAAGTCCCTTCCCAAGGGCACACTCCCACACTCAGCCACCCTCACTGTCCTGTCTCTGGCGTGTCAGGTGAGGCCTTCAGCCACCACCCTGTGCCACTAAGGAGAAATCTGAGGTCCAAGAAGGGAGGTGAGCATCCCTTGTCCCAGGCCCCACCAGTAGGCCCTTCCTTGTGCCCTTTCTCCCCGCAGCCTGCCTGCCTGATGCCTGCCTGGGGGCTTCTGCTCCTGCTCTGGACCGTGGCAGAGGCCACGCAGGACTGCCCAACCTCATGCAGCTGCCAGGCCCTGGAAACCATGGGGCTTCGTGTGGACTGTGAGGGGCGTGGGCTCACGGTCCTGCCTACCCTGCCCTCCAACACACGCCATCTCCTTCTGGCCAACAACAGTCTGCGCTCCGTGCCCCCAGGTGCCTTTGACCACCTGCCCCAGCTGTGGACTCTCGATGTGTCTCAGAACCCTTGGCATTGTGACTGTGGCCTCACCTATCTGCGCCTCTGGCTGGAGGACCATGTGCCCGGCTCCCTGGCGGACATCCTCTGCACCAGCCCTGCCCGTGCTGCCCACCGCTCCCTGGGCCAGCTGACTGGCTACCAGATGGGCAACTGTGGCTGGCAGCTGCAGGAGTCCTGGGCCCACCTGGGGATCTGGTGGGACTTGGCACTGGTGGCTGTGGCTGTTGTGGGCATGGCTCTTCTAGGTGGCCTTCTGTGCATCTCCAAAGAGTACCTGGTCTGAAATCAGGAGCCCAGAATCTCCCCCTGGCACTGGGGCAGCTCCCCAAAGCCCAGTAACTCTGCTCACCTCAAACCATCGGAAGACCCCAAATAAACTGGCTGCTTAGCCATTTTACCTAAGCTCAGAGTTGTCTGTTTTCTCTCAGCACCTGAATCTGGCTCCTTCTACAAACCTGTGTTCCTCCTCTTTCAAACCAGATAGTGGTTGGGGCTTCTTTGTCCCTTAAATTCTCAGGAGCATGAGCCGTCCTACCTCCCCCACCCAGTCAGCTCATAAGCCACACTCTGGATGTCCCAAACCAGGTTGTGGACTCTGATTCTCATGCCGTCTGCCACATGGGCCTCCCAGGATGATCCTGGCCAACTTCGCATCAGTATTCAGCCCCATCTCAAAGTCCACAGGAAGCTTGGCGTGAGCAGGACAGGGCGTACTGAAGATTCCACGGGAGGCTCCGTCTCCGCAATCTAAGCTCCCTTCCCACAAAGATTTCCAACAATAGCCCCGTGAGTTAAGAACAGCGCCAGCTAAGGTCTGAAGATGCCACTGGGAAGATCAAGCAGGCACAGAGTAAGACTAGAGGTCACTGACCTACAGAAGGCAGGGGTGCCCCAAACTCAGAGTAGGGGTTCAGTGGGGTATGGTGGGGACTGTGGCAAACCTAAGAGCCCATGTTCTGCCTAAAGGAGCTCAGCCAGTTGCCACTGTGTGCAGATGTGGATATGGACCCAGGAGCCCAGGCTGCCAGAGAGGCTGGAGACCTTGATTTTCATCTGTGATCTCTTTCAGTGTTAGCAACTAAATCAAAACTTTAAAAATCTATCAGTAGACTAAATGAAACACATCAATCATCTGGGTGGAACCTAAAGGCTGGGGGTACGGTTTTGGCATTAGAAGTCAGCCGTTATACAGCTGCCTAATTAACAACAGTCAGGGCCTGTGGCTCCAGCTCCGCCTCGAGTGCCTCCCATTCTTAGTCATCTTGGAAACCAGGAGAGCAAGGAGATATCCTCCTCCCCTGGGCGTGGAGGAGGGGCAGGTCTGTCGGCAGCCACCTGCAGAGTCCTCTTTCACACATGAACAGTGACCCCCTTAGAAGCTTATGGGGTCTAGGAGTTTCCTGGAACTAAGGCCCTTCTGCCTCCAACTCCCATGTGAGGTACAACCCAGATCACCTGCCCCTAAATTCTGCCCAGACCACTCCCCTGAGGCTGGGTGGTGGTGAAGGATCTTCAGTGGCCAGCAGGGGTTTCTCAAAGTAGACATTTGGCTCCCATGAGGTCCCCAGGAAACAAGAGTCCTGGGAACACAGGAAGCTCAACATGTGTCTTCTTCCACGGAGCTGCAAGAGCAATCACCTCGGAATGGGGCTGTGGCTTGAGTCTGACGTGTCCCTTAAAGGTCTGTGAGCTTGGTCCCCAGCCTGGAGGCAGAGCCTAGAGGAAGTTAGGTTATAGGGGTGCCCTTGAAGGGGATACTGAGACCTCTCTTGGCTTCCCGGCCACCGTGAGGTGAGCAGCTCTTTCTGCCATGGGGTCCCATCATAAGGTTGACTTCATTGTTGTATTTTAGTAAAGCCTTCTGTATTTGACCTAGATCGATGATGTATTTCATCATTTTTTTATGTTTTAGGATCAGTGACTAGCTCTGGAGCTAGAAATGGCCTCCCACAGGAGGCTTAGTTGGACAAAGGCTTTGAGAGCAATTTTAATCCCGAGTAAAGCAATAGCTAATAGTTTTAACTAAGACTCTGAGGGGTTTTGGCATAATTCTTTCAGAGTGGTTTTAATATGCATTGGGTCTTTTAACCTTATTTTTATGTCTGAGATGCCAAGAGGTATGACAATAACAAGTTATTTTTAAGGCTTGTAGAACTTTTTTGTCACTCTAGAGACAAGATGGTTTATTACTGCTCTAAAGTAACTTGGGAAGTCCAATTTAGGAGCAGTGTCTTTTAACAAAGCTTTAGCAACTTTTTGGGCCTTTTTATTCCAAGTGGGTTTTTTTTGTTTTTTGTTTTGTACCAGTGATCGAAATCAGAACCTTGTGCCTGCAAGGCAGGCAGGCAGCAGGAACACTGAGCTAAATCCCTGGCCCCCAGAGGGTATATGTTTTTATCCACCTGGAGAAGGTGTCAGCAAAAACTAAGAGGTATGTGTGTCCCTGGCAGGGGGTTTCTGGGGGGACTCTAGTGGCCAGTCCTCTCTAGGGAAGGAACCTCGCCTCTGCACTGGGCAAAGGCAGAGGTTTAACTTTTCCTCTTGGGTTGTTTTGGAGGTCAGGGGGCCAAGCCATTGTGACTTCCCAAATAGTGACTTCTCAAATAGTGTATTCAAGGCTTTTCCCCCCAAAAGTACAATTGACCAAGGTGATCAGTATTTCTCTCCCTAGATGGCATAAATCATGGGTTCCTTTAATAATTTTTATTAATCAGTCTAAGGTAATAAAACTTTGTGATCCTTTTCTTTAACTCACTGGCCATCGATTTTTGACTTATATCCTCGCTGCCTTTGTCCGTTCTTTTTTCTTTTTTTGATTTCTGAAAAGGAAGGGCTTGTACTTCTGCTTGGAGTTGGAGATATTAAAGCCATCTGTGAGGCCACTTTTAGTGCTGCTTGTTTGGCACTGTGAGCTGCCAAGGGATTTCCCCGGCTTATGGGAGAATTGTCCTTTTGATGCCCTTTGTAGTATATTAGGGCCTCTTTTGTCAGCAGCCACACTGCTGGAGGGAAAGAACCTCAGGCCTGTGTTTAATTGGGGAGGATTTTTGTTTTTGTTTCTGTTCTTGTTAAGAGTTCCATTTTTTTTCTCTATGGCCCCATAGGCACGAAGGACTAAGAAAGCCTATGGGGAGTCAGTATAGATGTGGACTTGCTTGTTTGTTCCAGGTTGTAAGGCTCAGGTAAGGGCATGGGTTTTAGCTTTTTGTGCTGAGTCTGAAGCAAGTGGCTTTGCCTCAGTTATCTCTTGGAGGCTAAGGGCCGAATACCCCACTGTCTGAGACCCTCACTCATGTAGTGTGAGGACCAAGTTTCCAGGTCACGGTGGGCTCCAAACCCCTTACCCAGAATAGAATAAATGCAAAAGTTCCTTTCTGAGAAATTTCATTCTATGTGACAGTTTCCATTTGTAAGACCTAAAATCTCACTTCCACTCCACGGAGTGTGAACAGCCAAAAAGGCCTCCACAATGCTGGGCCCAACACCCAGCGAGGCTCCGGGAGCTCAACGGAGAACGAGAAACCCAGGAAGGAACACACCAGGCTAGATGGTAAAGAGAGCTTTATTAGTCTGGCCAGACGGCACTCCCAGAGCCAGGTGGCTCAGAGAGGCACCTCGCTCAGGGGCCGAGGTCCTCTTATAGGGAGTAAAAGAGGGGGTTAACATTTTGGGCTCACAGACAGGGGACAAAGGTCTGCTGACTTGAGCTGGTGGTCAGCAGTCACATGTTCAACAGTCACATATTGATGAGTAACAGGTACCACCTATAGGATGTCTCAAAGGTCACCAAGACACTCCAGATGAGCAAACAGTTTGTCAATTAACTTGGGGCTCTATGTCTGGAGTCTCTAATTTACAGGTAGATTCAGATCCGGACTTCAAACAATACAAGAGTGATCCACATTCTTAGGCCAGGGCTGGAACAAAGGTCGGGGCTGTGGCTACAATGGGAGGGGTTCAGGACACTGTCTCCTAGGCCCTTTGCCATTTAGCAAGGGCTTGTAATTTAGGTCCCACACATTCTATGTGGCAATTTCTCTGTGCTTCTAAAAAAAAAATTCCATTCTTCTCTGTGCTTCCTCCTCTTTTAGGGCATCTCCACCCTGCTTCTGTTCCTCTTTTTAAAATGTTAAGACAAGCTTCTTTTTGTATGATTTAATTAATATAGAAATTAGTTATAGCTGATATAGGAATTAATTTAGTTATAGCCGATATAGAAATTAATCACAGTTAATAGAAAAGCTTCTTTTTGTGTGATCTAATCAATATAGAAATTAATTATAGTGGATATAGACAGTTATACATCTTAATTAGCAAAAGTCAGAAAAGAGGAATTAATTGTCTAATGAAGGCCTTAGGTAACTTTCCAATATGTACCCTCCCAGCACCCCATGATGATTTTGCAGATATAAACATTAAGTATTGGAAGATAAGGGAAAACTAAAAATAGCAACAGAAGAATCTTATATAAACTTGGTTCAAAATTGGATCTGGGCTCTCAGTCTGAAGCCGCTGTGACGGTGACACCTGAGAGTCCAGGCTCGAGCTTACAATAAACTCCTCTTGCAATTGCACCGGACCTGACTCCTGGGTGGTCTTTGGGGACTTCGCGACTTGGACACAACAGCAGCTGCTCCTGTCAGTGAACTGGTTGTCTAAGGGCCTGCTGGACTAAACCTGTTCTGCAGTTTGCACACAGAAGGAAGCAGGCTACCTCCACCCAGGGTGGGAGGTAAGGTTGCTGGACTCAAAATCTGATGCGCCTGGAGAGTAATCGTTGAGACTAATAGGAGACCTTGATATTTAGATAGGCATCCTGCAGTCAGCCACTGGTGTCTTCTCATTGAAAACACTTTGAACCCGACTGGGGAGGGTGGGTGTTTGACCCCAACTAGGTGCCCTAGAGTTCATGTAGTGGCTTCATCAGCCAGGAGTGTTGTGGCGGTCACAGCTTGTAAACATCCAGGCTGTCCACACGACAGAGTCCATTTGTTTAGAAAGCTGAGCCTCAGGCCAAGGAATGGCTTCCGATCTGAGTAAGAACTGCTCCCCCAAGTGCTGCATCCTGTCTTTTGGCTCCACGTGGGGTAGATGGCTTATTGAGATTAGGAATTTTTAAAGCTGGAGTAAATAACAACAGGCCCTTGTGGTTTTTGTTTTTGTACTGGGGATAGAACTCAGGTTTTTGTGTTTGCGAGGCAGGCAGCAGAACCACTGAGCTAAAGCTCCAACCTACAGGCCCATGAGTTTTGAAAAGGCTTTTATTGTCTTTTAGTCAATTTTAGGAGCTCATGATCAGGCCCTTGTGTGGCCTTATAGAGAGGCTTTACTATTAGTCTGAATCAGGGAATCTATATCCTATAAAAT